CATTAAATGCCATAAATACCCCCATCCGTTTTCCCTAACTACCCCTCTCCTCCCATATATAAACCCCCTCAACCCTCCCTCATTCTTCACATCAAAATCATATTCTCCTCTCTTATATAACTCAAATTCTCCAACTATTTGAGTTTTAAATTTGTTATTAGTGGTAAGAAATTTATTTTTATGTTAGTACTTTTTTTAAATAGTTATTATATTTTATATTAATATATTTATGTAAATATATTTTTTATTAAATAATATTTATATAATTATTATTTATTTAGAATTATTAATTTTTTTTTGCTAATTATATTGTTTTGTCTACAGTTATAATGGAAAACGAAATGCTGTTGCGATTGGATATTGATCATATCTCCAGACATTTTAGCGATATGGTAATATTTTTTATAATTAATGTTAATATTTAAATTTATTTTTATTTTAAAGTTATTATGAATTTATATTAATTTTTATTTTTTATAATGTATATTATTTAGGATACTGATCGTATATTAATAGATGTTGCAGTGTTGATTTCTGCTATACAGTCACAATATGGGTACACTGTCTCATATAAAAAAGCGTGACTGGCAAAACAGAATGCCATTTGCAAACTTCATGGCGAATGGGATTCCTCTTACAACGAGCTGCCCAGTTGGTTTCATGTTGTGCAAAGACTTAATCCCAGGATAATTGTTGAGTTCGAAACTCAACATCATTACGTGAATGATTGAATGGTTTGCGATCGCTGTCAATTTTACTGTGTCTTTTGGACTTACCCTCAGTGTATTAATGCAGTCAAGTACTGTAAACCAGTTGTCCAAATTGATGGTACTTTCTTGTATGGGAAATACAAGCAAGTTTTATTATTGGTTGTAGTCCAAGATAGAAACCGCAATATTCTTCCTGTTGCGTTTGCCCTCGTTCAAGGAGAAGACATTAAGTCTTGGGCTTTTTTCCTTAAAAATTTACGTTTACATGTTGTCACCAGGGAACGGGTATACATTATTTCAGACCGAGGAGTCGGGATAAAAGCAACAATGGACTCTTTAGGTACAATGTATAGACCTCCACATGTTCAACATCGTTATTGTGTCCGTCATATTGCTGCAAACTATTACGGAAAATACAAGAAGAACGATGAACGTCAGTTAGTCGTGCGGATGGGTATGTTACTTTTTCCCAATTTTTCTATCGATTTCTTATTACTTATTTATACTTCATATTAACTATTACATATTCTTAATGGCTTAGGTTACGAACTCTTACCTCAAAGGTTTGAGTCGATGCTACAAGAGCTGTTTGGCAAAAATAAAAAGGGGTGCGAGTACATTATGGACATCAACAAAGAAATGTGGACAAATGCATATGACGGGGGTATCGCTATGGTCATATGACAACAAACTTGGCTGAAGCAATAAATTAAACCTTAAAGGGGACGCGTCATTTACCAGTCACGGCGTTGGTTAAAACGACTTATTTTCGTTTGAGTCAACTCTTTGCAAAGCTCGGTGGACAAGCTCTTACTTGGATGCAAAACGGACATATTTACCACCCAAGACTAGTAGTTGATTTACAGAAAAAAGTGGCTGCATCAAATGGGATGTTAGTTACAAATTTTTCTCGCACCCGTGAATTGTTTCGTGTAACCGAAATGCCACGTCCGCTGCAAGGGATTGAAGCTAACTCTTTCAGAGTTAATCTGCAAGAGAGGTGGTGCGATTGTGGTTTCTTTCAAGCACTCAAATATCCATGCTCTCATGTCATTATTGCTTGCTCACATTCACATTTGGACTACAAAAATTATGTTGATCTCGTATACCAACTTTCACAAGTATTCAAGGTATATGAATTTGAGTTTCCGCCCATAGGAAACGAAAGAGACCCAAATGAGATTCAAACTTGGCTTACAATTTTACCAGATCCATTGATATTGAGGGACTCAGGTCGTCCAAAATCTACTAGAATACATTGTGATATGGATATTCGGGAGAAGTTAACAGAACAAAAACGATGTGGGCATTGTAGAAACATCGGGCACAATAGAAAAAAATGTCCAGCTCTGTTATCATCATATAACCGTTAACTCTTATGTAATTAATATTGTATTTAAATGAATGTTTTTGTTTCTAATAATTTAATGTTATTGCATTTATATAATTTGTCAATGTATGTACACCTAAATAATTTTTTTTAACTTTTAAATACATAAATATTTTTAATATATTTATTTAATATAATAATTAATATTATTAGTTATAATTTTTTTAAAATATAATAATAATTCCACCTTCTAAGTAGAGAAAATATTAAATTAAACAAATTAAAAGTTATTAAAAAAATTTATGTATACGATGACACATTTCATGTTTGATTGGAGGATTAAATTTATTAAATTAAATTTTAATAAGACTAATTTCATAAAATATGTAAGTCTTGAAGATTAAATATGTAATTATATTAATTTATTAACTTATGCATCAATATTTTCGTTAAATATTGATATGAGATGACTAGATTGATAACATTTAAATAATTAACTGATAAAATTAATAGATCGATAATCAAAATCAAAAATAATAATATAACCATATGTGTAATATTATAATTTCATACATTTTTCCTATAACTACAATAAAGTCAAAACTGGTTTTCATATATTGTTATATCATATTAATGTAGATAATTCACTCCACCTTTAACACACATTAACAAAATACATTTGATAATTCTTACATTATAATCGAAACATTTTACATAATATATTATTAATTTATAATAATAATAATAATAAAATATTATTATTAAACAAAATACGTGGCAGTCGAGCTGGCGAAAGGCGCGTCCCTGGGGATGCGCCTTTCACACGTGACATCCAACTCAGCGAAAACACGGGTAAAGCGCGTCCCCGGGGACGCGCCTTTCGCCAGCTCAACAGAAAAGGTGCTACTTCGAGAAATATTGGTCAAACGATGTCAGAAAGGAGATATTAGAAAAAAATTAGTGTCAGTTATGTCAAATAGCCGTGATAAGACGACCCAATGATAGTGGATAAGAGACGTGTGATGTTGGGTCATTGTTATTGAGTAAACTACAGACTCAGTCACTTCTGTTTTAGTTTTATAAACTTATAGTCACTCGATTTAAGAAACTTAATTCGTAGTCACTTTCCTCTTGTTTTAATTAAAACGTATCGACCTTTAAATATTTAGTCACTAAGAATTTAACAAAGTTAATGATTCGGCATATTAATAAAAGGGTTAAATTTTATTTTAACCCTGAACTTTAAATAAAATATTAATTGTAGTTTTTTTTTTAAAAATCAAAAGCATTTTAGGGACAAATTTTCAATTACTCCTTTTCTTCCCTTTTCTTCAACTTGCCCATTGTTGGACATTTCCTTCAATGACCAACATTGGTTTGCAGTTCATGGATTTCTCAGCTCTAATGGCCTTGTTACCACCACTCATGACTTGATTACTAGAATTGGTTTAACAACCAAAAGTTCGTCGGAACCTGTCCATGGCTCGCCGGAACCGTCCCGGTGCTCAACTGCAACAAATAACTCCCCATTTGTGAGATCTTAAACCAGTCATTCATGTTCAATCTTTGAAGTATTTAATTATTTGAATTAATTTACATCATTAGTGTTTTCAACATTTAGATCTATTCTTAAGAAAAGCATAACTAATCGATAAATTAATATGTAAGTGGAATTGCAGAAGAATGCTAAATTGTTCTTTTGCTGCTCTTGCAGATATTCGAGAGGCTCGAAATTTTGGCTGAAATGGAGAAATTGTTTTATGACATGGGAAGTTGTCATGAGCTTACGCATTTGGAAAATAGCTTCGATTGAAATGGAGAAATTTTTTTCTTTTGAAAATTTAACCCTCAACCATATCTCAATTAAAATAAAACGAAAATGATTACGAATGATGTTTTTTGAATTCAATGACCGTACGTTTATAAAATTAAAACAAAAGTGGTTAACTCTGTAGTTTACCATTGTTTCTTTGTAAACAAATGTATTTTTAAAAATATCTTTAGTCTTTGAATATTCTTTTAGGTTAAATTACACGTTTAGTACTAAACTATTAGTTTTGATCAATTTTAGTACCTATACTTTCATTTTTAAAAACCATACCTAAAGTTTAGTTTTTATTTTATTTTAGTATCCCGTTCAAAATTTAACGTTAAATTTTGAAAAAATTAAAAGTTTGAGTACTAAAACGGATCAAAACTGACAGTTTAGATACTAAACGCGTTAAGTTTTTAACAGTAGGTACTAAAATGAAACAAAAATTAAATGTTAATTATGATTTTTTAAAAATTAAAAATTTAGACACTAAAACTAATAATTTAGATACTAAATGTGTAATTTACTCTTTTTTTAATTTATTAGTTCGATCAAAATATCTCTTGAATCTTCGAATGTCTATGTTTCGTTTTCAAGAGAAATTTTGGTATTAATCGAAAAATTAGACATTAGAAAAAGTGATAAAAAAATTGGGTAAACTACGTATTTAGTATCTAAAGTTTCACTTTTAGTATTTTTATTATCTAGACTTTCAATTTTTATAAAATCATACCTAAAGTTTAGTTTTTGTTTCATTTTTGTACTCGTCGTTTACTTTTTATTTCATTTTAGTACCCCCACTGTAAACTTTTTGTTTCATTTTAGTACCTAAATATTTAACGACGGGATACTAAAATGAAACAAAAAGTAAACTTTAGGTACGGTTTTAAAATTTTTGAAAGTTTAGGTATTAAAATGAAATAAAATTGATAGTTTAGGTACTAAATGTGTAGTTTACCCAAAATTTTGGTACTGAAATGGATTAAAATTAACAGTTTAAGTACTAAATGCGTTAAGGTTTTAACGGTGAGTACTAAAATGAAACAAAAACTAAATGTTAAGTGTAGTTTTAAAAGAATTGAAAGTTTAGATAGTAACAGATCTAAGCTGATAGTTTAGGTGCTAAATAAGTAGTTTACCCGTAGAAAAAAAAAACAAAATCAGACTTTCATTGTTTCTCATTGTGTAGCTCGTGGTTCGATATCCTTGAGCAAGCCAACAACCTGCTGCATGCTCGGTCGCTTGGCAGGAAGATCAGCTGTGCACAGATACCCGATCTTGATGGCCTCCTCCATCTGGTAATCCCAACAAGCATCATGAATTTTAGGATCAATGGCTTTTAATCCTTCATTCTTCCTCACCAATCCTCTAATCCAACTCACTAAATTTGTTTCTTCCTCCTCCGGATACTCATCCCCAACTGGTCTTTTCCCTGTAATCAGCTCAAACAAGACAACCCCAAAGCTATACACATCAGATTTCAGGGTAGGAGCATCTCCTTCAGGTGCAAGTTCATCCACCAGACCAGTTCCAAGGATGTTGGCCAATCCGAAGTCTGATAATCTGGGCTCCAAGTTCAAGTCAAGATGAACACTGCTGGCTTTAACATCTCTGTGGATTATTGAAGGTGAGCAACCATGGTGAAGAAATGCGAGTGCCCTTGCAGTGCCAAGGGCTATTCTGTGTCGAAATTCCCATGTTGTTTACAACCCAGCATTTTGTTGTATCCCATTGTTGTTGTAGTCTTCCTCCTCCTCTGTTGCTTGAGCACCACCAAGTGGCAAGCGGTGTAACAAATTCTGCAAGTTGCCGTTTTCCATGTAATCGTAAATGGAAGTCCTTTGATCCCCGACCAAACAATATCCTGTTAAGGGAATGAGGTTGGGGTGTTTGATTCGACCGAGATACTCGAGTTCTCTTGCAGCTTCTTGGTCTGTCAACGTTGATCCATGGACCAAAACTTTAACAGCTACATGGATTCCACCAGGCAGAAATCCTGTATAAACAGGCCCGAACTTCCCTTCTGCTAGTAGAGTGTCTCCGTCGAAATTCGAAGTTGCAGACAAGAGGTCTGCAAATGTGATGTTTGATAGAGGTTTCTCAAAGATCACTACGGGGACCGATGTTGCCTGCCTAACATCAGCCACCCAAGTGGTCGAACCGGTTCGGAACGAGAATGGACCCGAAATATTCTGTTCCTCTTCATACGAGAACGGACCCGAAAGATCATTAGTGTCTCAAATACAAATTTCTATTTCTATTTCTAATAACAATTTTATTATTCTAATAGTTAATTGTCACTTACATTAATCGATATCTATTATGCGTTTGTATATAATTTTTTACATCATTTGAGAACTCTCAATTAACTTGTTACAGTCGTTGGTGTTTGAACATATAACCTTTAAAAATAATAATGATTTTTTTAACTACCGAGATAAGTTGATTTATGTGTTATTTATATTTAAATAAATGGTTGATATAACGAATAGATGGAGATATTTTTTAAAAATATATTTAAATTTTGAACACTCGTGGTGATGGAGTTTAGAAGAGATAGAATCGGTGGAACGAGGCCACCGAGATGCACCACTCGTGGACCGACACACGCAAATCCCACGAGTTCCGCACGTTTCATTACAACAACAATAACTAATACCATTAAAAAAATGACTTAAAATTGGGCCGTACTGTACAAAACTGACATGATTTATGGACGGTGTTGTCGAAGGCTCAGGCCCGTATCCCAAGTCTCGTTTGGGCTTAATTGTGTGAGGCTTGTGGACTTTAGGCTAAATAAAGTGACAAAATTGACCTAATAGGTTAGCGGGTAAAACAAATTAACTCATTAGGTCATCTCCAAAAATAACTTAGGATCTACAGTAAATGCTACATTGCAGTACAAACTCAACACGTCCACATGACGTATTTATCTAAATAATAATTTTTTATTTAAACTTGTCTCGTCAAAGTAACAAGTTCCAAAAAAATATATTCTTTACTAAAATTTTGTCACCACAAAACGAAAAGTTACAATAAAAAATATTATTTTATTAAAATCATCATATTTACGTGACGAGTTTCAAGTCACTATAGTCATCTAGTGCCATATTAAACTAAATAATTAACCCGTCTACAATACAAGACTAATTTTGCCAAAAGAAATAGCAGATAAGGGACGGCAATTTTATTTCTTGTTTTGGCAATCTACAACAGTGCCAAAAAAACAATACCTTGTGAATTTACGAGGAAGTCTGATGGAGGATAATTTAATTTAAGATAAAAAATTTTGTAGTTTCGTGATAAAAATTATAATATTTTAAGTTAGACATAACTTGGTATATGATCATCTTATTAATATTTTTGTGTAAACATTTTTATTGTATTAAGAATATTTATTTTTCATTTAAGTTCGTTCAACCTAAAATATTATGATTTTTATTATTTTTATTGTGTCTCAAAATCATTATTTTTAATCTTTTATCGGAATAACCCGAATTTATGATCCAGCAGTCCATAATCTATTTGGAAGAACACTAGAAAGTTCGCTGCAAAGGTGCTTGGAATTTAAGGAAAGTTTCAGATCAGACATCTGGATTTTTGTGTTTTCTTTTTCACAGTAACAGCAAAAAAAAACGGCATAACTGAAAGGGACAAAATTAGAATGTTTTATCCCAAATTTCTTTCAGTTTAAGACAGCATCTTCTACTGTAATAAAAATGATTATGCAATGTCGATAAAGCTTTTAGAGCAATGCTAGTTCTCTTTTCATGCAAGTTTAATATCTCCTAAGCAATTGCTTTCATTGTTTGTTATTGTGTCATTTCCACTATAATTATGCCTACGAAACAAAGCCCCACAGAAAAATCATTATCCACCGACGGAAGGTTGCTTGATATGGAATTATGGAGCAACAAGTGTGTTGCAAACTGATATTCATCGTCAGTTTAAATGTTTCTTTGGACAGGGACAAACGTAAAATTTTACGTTAGATGATGAATTTAAATTAGTTTATAAAATTCAAGGGGCAAAAACAAATTTTCGATAAAAATACATAAAGAAAGTTTAAAATATATAGTAATTCGACTGTCCCACTCTCGGTCCATCTGTGTCTCTGGATAAGCTATGCTTGTAGTCTATTTTATTTTCGATTTATCTTATTTTAGTTACTAATTGTGAAATGTTACGTTTTGAATATTTATGTTATTCGTTCTTTAAATCATTAATTCTTGTTAATGTGTTCATGTGGCACACCAAAAAAAAATATATTAGAATTTTAACTTTTGTGTCTGGATTTTAATAAAATAATAATTTAACTTGTAAATTTGTGATAAAATACTAATTTAATTCTTAAACTTTAATAAAATGTTAATTTGATCCTTAAATCTAGTTAAAATATATGTTGCGAACCGTCGTTCATCACTATCATCGATCAATGTTAATTTCCGTCACAGACCACCATTCGACTATCATCGTCAACGATGATTGGACCTCTAAATTTCTAGTTCACTTGTTTTTTTTATCTTCTGGACACAAATTTGATATCCTTTATATTGAACAATATCTTAAAGATTACTAACTTTGTCTATAACCATTTAAATTATTTTAAAAATAAATTATAATAATATATTTATCATTATATTCATTTTAAAACAAAAAAGAAACTGAACGGTTGCTGGGACACAACTCTGAAGAGTTTAAACAAAGAGTATATAACACAAAGTTTGATCAAACAAACAATTATAAATTGGGGGATGCTTAAGTGAAAGCTTACAACTTTGAAGAGAGTGCCTTGGAAGCATGAATTTGAAACAATGAAGCGGTAAAGTATGGAATGTGACCTATTTGATTTCTAGTAATTGTACCAACTAGGGTTGGCACAAAACTCGAATCTGACAGTTCCGATTTAATCCAATCTGATTGAATTTTTTCTCTTTTAATCAGATTCATGTTGAAATTTTTAGAAACTATGTTCGGGTCGGATTGGATTTTCGGTCGACCCGACCCGACCCATATCATCCCTAACACTACCCTATATGTAATGATGTGCCGTCCATGAACCGCAAGCAAAGCCACCAACACACAAACAGTGCTCAAGAACAAGCAGGGGAGCATTAAAGTCTTCGGTAAACAAGTGGAAGATAATTTAAGTAATAATGTTGATTTAAAAACTTATCGCGGTACCACTCACGCTTTATTTTTATTGAGTTGATGAGATGACGAGAGCCCTTAATTATTTGTATTGTTAGTTCACATCCCAATACGAGGGTCAAAGTAAAATAAAAATAAATACACATCAATCGATTCAATTATTAATTCGATTAAGAATATTAGTTAATTATGTAATTGAATAAATTCAGCTTATAATCTTATAAAGATTTGTATAACAAAATCAATAATCCGAATATAAGATTGATTAACAATAAGTACATCAAGGCAGAATTAGGAATTTATTAAATGGTTTTAAAATATTTTTTCCTTAATTTTTAAAGACACTTTTTTTAATTGAAGGGTTGGTGAAATTTTATTTATTTATTTTTTAAATATATATTTTCAGTATTAATTAATATTAAATATATAGTTTAATTGTAATAATATTTTTTTAGTAAGCTAATGTGATTACAAGGTAGTATATGTTCTAAATACTTTCAACCTATGAGAATGAACGCTCAATCATCCTGTTGCAGTTGTTGGTGCTCGAACCCGTGACCTCTAGGAACAATAATGATTCTTTTAACCACTGAGGTAAGTTAGTTCGTGCTAATTGTAATAATATTTAATTAAGTGATTGTTTTTATAAAAATAATGTATTTAATCTCATTAATATTAAATGTCATGAATTTACCTAGAAAAATAATAGAACCCATCAAACAACATCAGTGATTAAAGAAATTAGTATTTCTTTTAGAGATTACTAGTTAAAACAATTACATTTGTAAAATATATATTATTAACCATTTGAAAAAATATAAATAGATATTAACAGAAATATAAGTAACGAGAAAGTAATATAGTATTTCTAGTAGAATAATAACAAATTAAGCTAAAAACAAATGCTTGGGATGGGAGGATATAATGACTAAATTGATTTAATTTTAAATATAAGTAAATATTTTATTAAATTATTTTAAATTAAGATAATATTGATTAAATATACAAATTTCTAAAAATTAAAATTATTATTTTATTATGTCAAGTCACTATTTTATATGTATTTATTTATTATTTAATAGTAATAAATTTTAATTAAGTGACTAATTTTTTAAAATAATTTATTTATAATCTAATTAATAATTAAAAGAACCTATCAAGCAACATTAATTATTAAAGGGAATAATATTTCTTTTAGAGATTACGAGTTAGACCATTATATTCGTAATATATTATTAATAATTTAAAAAAATAAATAAATATTATCTTATGATTATCTCATACTATTATTTAAAAAGGGTAAAATACATAAATGGTCCTTCAAGGGTATTGTTTATTAAATGTCTTGATTATTAAAAATTATAAAATGATCATTTGACTATAAAATGTTGATTTGGTAAGTTCATCGACTATTAAAAGTTACAAAATGGTCACCCGACTATTCATTATGTTCAAAACTCGTCATTTTCCATTAAAAATTGGCGGTTGTCTAAGATGAACGCTAACATGATGACTGAGATATGATATTCGTTTGAGATTTTGAGATCAAATTTTATTATATCATAGTCAGTACGTTAACGTTCAGCTCAGAATACCGTCAATTTTTTAACGAAAAAGGACGCATCTAAAACATAATGAATAATTAGGTATCTATTTTGTAACTTTTAATAGTAAGTGATTTAATAAAATAATATCCTATAATCAAGAGACTATTTATATACTTTAATGATAGAAAAATTCAATATGGGTAATTGAAGGTAATAGAAAAAGAAAGAATTTAAGACAAAGTTGCAACAGAAAAAGAGTTGAGGCTCCCCCACAAGACACGGTCTGTTTTGGCTAAAGATATATATATTTTAATAAAGATGACTTCATTGACCCAATGGCTCTTAACAAAATCCCAAAACTGAATTAACTATGGAAGGTCGCTACCCTGATTTTCCACCGTTGGATTCAAGGAAATTCCTTACGACTCGAGCGATCAATGGTGAAAACATGGGGAGGAACCAAAAGCTAAAAAAATGGACCCCATTAGGGACTACTCGATATGCATAAAGTTCAACCAGAAGGCCCGAAAAACAGCTAAAGAAGATAGAGAAAACATGCAGAAATCAATGTCAGAGAGAGAACAGAAAGACAAAAAGAACAATTTATTTGAAATTTCGACGCTCCAATTCTTTAAATTCTACTTCACCAAATTCCACGAAATTCAAAACCCAGCTTTAAAATCCTTGTCTTTCCAATACCCAAATCTCTGTGTTCTTTAATTTGATTAATTTTGGCTCCTTCAATTCATTTCCCATTTCTTGTTCAACCGGAGATCAAAATCCAAAATTCCCCTGCTTTTTTTTAATACAGGATTCTTGAATTTTTTTACAAAGAATCAGACATGGGAATCCAAAAAGACGTTTTCAAATTTAACGTAGGTGGCAGAATCTTTCAGACGACGGCCACAACACTTGCAAACGCAGGCAGGGATTCTTTTTTCGGTGCATTATTTGACGACAATTGGGACTTACGACAACATCAGCCAGACAGCAGCCAACAAGAATTCTTTGTCGATCGAAACCCCGACTGTTTCGCTGTCCTCCTCGATCTCCTCCGGACAGGTGATCTCTACATTCCTCCCAATGTACCCGAGAGGCTTCTTTACAGAGAAGCCATGTTTTACGGCTTAACTGACCATGTCCGCTCGGCTAAATGGGGTCCATTCGACGGTAACAGGTTAAAGCTGTCCAGGTCAGTAATAGGGCGAGCCCCAGGTGACGGAACCGCCATCCGAGCCAGTCCGGACGGCGGCTGTTGCGTTGCTCATGGTAGCATGGTTCATGTTTTCGACTGGATGTTGGAAGAACACCCGCCAATCAATCTCGATTACCAGAGTCAACGACATAGGCTGGTCAACGCTGAGAATGTACTAATAAGTGCCTGCGAAAGGCTAGGGAAAGGAGATGGCGGGATAGGGTTGTTCAGTTCATCAACTGGAGATTTGAGACACAAGTTTAACGTTGTCCATGATAATCAAATCAAGAGTTACACTGCTGGGGCTTTGAGTTTCAGTCCAGATATAAGATTTTTTCTAGCTGTAAAGGAAGAAGCAATGAATATGGGATTGGAGTTTGGGACCAAGTTACCGGTAAACAAATCGATTTCTTTTACGAGAGTCCCGGCTGGTCTCTCGGCGATGCAGATAAACTACAATGGTTGAATGGTACTAACTGTTTACTAGTTGCCACACTGTTTCCCAGAAAAGATAACTGCTACATCAGTTTACTTGATTTTAGGGAGAAGAGAATGGCTTGGTCTTGGTCCGATATCGGTGCTCCGTTAACAGTTGACGAGAAGAGAGTTAGAGATGCCATTGCATTGGAAGAATGCAATTCCATTTGTGTAGTGAATGAGTATGATGATTTGGGGTTCATAGATTTAAGGATCAATGGGGGAAGTGTGAGATGGAGTTCCAGGAGTAGGTTGCTCAAGGGGAAAATGCTGGATGAGCCCTGCTACCCCAAACTGGCATTGCATAACGGACAGTTGTTTTCGTCGATGAACGATTGCATCTCGGTGTTCTGTGGTCCCGATTGGGTGCTAACGTCTAGGCTTAGAAGAAGTTACGGCGGTTCGATCTGCGATTTCTCCATCGGAGGCGACCGTCTCTTTGCACTTCACAGCGAGGAAAATGTGTTTGATGCATGGGAAACTCCACCTCCACCGGTTATATGATTCAACTCCTGGTTTGATCAATGTAGCAGTCCTTTTTTTTGTCTTCTCTTTTAGTAACATACAGGATGAGCTTACAATTAAAACCAAAATCATAGTTTAGGCAAAAACAAAGATTACAGCCTCAAAAGGGTGATGTTTAAAGTCTTCTGTTGTACAGAATTTGCTTGCTGTTTCAAAGAAATGAAAACCAATTGCTCAACAATCATACATTAAAGTTTTCACTTCCTTAAAGAGTTGCATATAATCTTCAGCAACAAGACTTTTAATTGTGCATATTGTTGTTATCTTTCTTCTTTTTCTGTTTAGAACAGACCATTTTATCTTTTCACCTTTTGACCTAGACTTCATCAAAGTTCCATGGCAAAAAAAGAATGGTGATTACATGTGAGCAGTTGCAGCTGCTTTACCGTCTTATCTTGATTTGGAATAACATATGACAGAATCTTGAAGTGGTTCGTTGCATAAAGTTGGGCAACAACTTTAGTTGCAGATAACATCTCACCACAACAAAGGCTTTTTCACCATTGATAAACTGGGAATAGATTCCAATTCAGATAGCCCCAAAGAGGGGAATATGGTATCCCTTATTTTCCTCTCTCTTTCGAGTACATGAATGGATAAAAAATGTGGGGTAATTGAGATTAGGTATGGAATTAGTTGGCGAACTTAAAGCTATCATAACGACGATTAGGTGCCAACCAATGTCACCCTGCAAATCATTGATGTTTCCAAGCTATGTACTGACAGATTTGGTCAATCTAACCAATCATGATTGCTGGAACACTTCGGATCATTTCCTATCGACTCGAGCTTTCGTAGTAACCAGTCTCTCGAGTCTGAATCACAATGCAGTGTTTCCATTCATCTGAGACTGATCCCAAAAGGGTATACGAGGAGCAGTGTGATGCTCCTCTATGGAAGTACTCATCTGTCGAACTTCTATGATGCTTAACCCATCCCGCGATTCATGTTGATCAATCGGCATCGGATTAACATCCAAGTACCGGATCAACCTGTACATCAAGCGTTTACATGTCGAATTAAGGGGAAGATAGTTGAAATGAGATGTGTTATATAATTCACTAATGATGAATGTGGGCACTATTGCTCAAGGGCTACATTCCATTGAATTATGGGCATCTCGGATAAAGAAGGGTCACATACCATTGAGCTATGGCCACGTATTAATTACAGACGGACCATTAAATTATTACATAATTGCTCATATAGACAGTCATATGGCCCAAAAATCCACCCATAAGCGGGTCCAAAATGGCAACATATTTATACTTTGGACCCAAACCGAGGAAAATGAAATGGACAATTTGGGTGCATAATGAGGCAACCTCTATTTAGACATGTATAGATATATATTCAGTTGCCCACTCGAAGGTTTTTTTCCCCATCTACCACTGGTGTAATGCATTTTCTTGCTTGAAATGCGTGTAAATACACATGTGCAATTCAACCTACAAAATAAACAGTGGCCATTCCTGAAGTTAAGAGCAATCCCAATGGCCAGTACCAGAATTTTGTGAAACCTTTGGACGATAAATAATTATTGGAATTCTTTTTTGGATAAACTAAATGATTAGTCAATTTCGTTTAAGTTTTTACATTTTCCTCACTAGATACAAAAAAAATAATATTTGGTCAATTTCGTTTTTATTTCATTAAGGTGTGATCACTTATCTTAGCGACTTTTAAATGTTTTAGTCACTGACCGTCGTTAGTGAGAAATAAATAAATAAATTAAATAAAAGTGATGACATCTTAATTAAATAAAAACAAACGTGATTGAATATAATGTTTCTTAAATTCAATAATAATAAATATACAAAACTAAAACAAAAGTGATCAATCTCATAACTTATCCTCTCTTTTTTTCACAGCCATACTTGTAAATTTATGATAAGAGATGTTCGTGGGAATGGAATGGGAGAGTAAACAACTAATAAATATTTTTAAATTATTTTTTTATTAATCTGGATAAAAAAAGAGAATATACTTTAAATATTTATTTATGATATAAACCTTTTATTAGATATGAATAACATACGTTGAAAGGGAGAGATTGCAGCAAGTGTTGTTGGGAGCCAAGTTAAAATAAGAATAAATTATTAATAAAAAATATTTAAAACATATTTATCATTGCTCTACTCTAATTATATATATATACTCAAGACTTAAGAGTTTAGACTCAATTAAAATTTAGATTTATTTTAATTAATTATCTATTTTATTAATTATATTTTAAAATTTTATTTGTATTTATTCTATATAAAATTTTGTATGAATATTATTTGTCCATCTTTAAAAGTATTTTTAAATTCATTTATTTACCATTTAGGATAAACTTATTTGTTGCCCACTTCTTCCTTTCTTTTCGTTTATTTATTTATTATAAATATCTTTCTGTTCGTCAAAATTTTAAGGGTAAATTACATTTTTAGTGCTTAAACTATTAGTTTTAATCTATTTTAGTTAAACTTTTAATTTTTTAAAATCATACCTAAAGTTTAATTTTTATTTATTTTAGTACTATGCTGTTAAAAATTTAGTTTTTGTTTCATTTTAATATATTGTTCAAAATTTAACGTTAAATTTTGAAAAATTAAAAGTTTAGATACTAAAACTGATATTTTAGGTACTGAACGTGTTAAATTTTTAACAGAGAGATATTAAAATGAAATGAAAATTAAAAATTAGATATGATTTTAAAAATATTAAAAATTAAATATTAAAACAGACAAAAAATTAATAATTTAGGTTATAAATGCATAGTTTATCCATCTTCTAACTAAAGGGAAGATAGGCCGTTGACTTGTAAATAATCCATTTTCCTTTTAGTTTTCACATGTATAATATAATAAAGCAAGGAAAAACCAAGAAAAAAGATTAAAATTATTTAATAATAACAAGAATAATTTGTTCTGAGGATTGGTTGATCGGTCCTCTTCTTCCTTTTATCCTTTGTTGGAGTTGGTCAGGTCTAAGTCAGTCAACGCCGTCATCATGGCTCGAAAACAGAGGTAGCATCTTTAACGGAACCGTCGACACCGCCGCCGTTACCCCTAGTAGCTGACTGGACGGTTAACACGGACATGCTTGGCGAGGAAGGCCCTTCCCCGTTGGATTGAGGTAAACGGTAGTTGCCGCCGCCCTTTCTTGGGTTCGCAACGGGGCCTCTGGAATGACACGTGGCGGTGGAGATTGCGTTGGCAAGTTAAATAGGCATGAGGCACAGTCCCTTCCCTTGCAGGTACCGCATGGCGGAGCCCATGTCCTCTTCAATAAGCTCGGCCACTTGGTGCTCCGTCACCGTTATGCTGTCGTCGTTCGCAGACGTTTGATTGCCGTTAAAATTCCTCTGAAGGGACCCACCACCGTTAGCAGTCGTCTGAACACAACCGTCTCCTCCTTGCAAGGCCGAAAGACCACAATACTCTCTTTATCATCGTCTTTTACTATATATTGTTCTTTAAAACTAAAATCATATATACGTAAAAGATGAAGGGTATTTTCAACTAGGGTTTACCTCAGAAGGCATATTAGCAACATGTGGAGCTACGGCACCGGCGCCGCCCATTCTGCTCATAATCAGAACCTTGACTTTAAGCTGGAGGAATTTGACATAATCTATTATCTCATCAAGCACTGAAGCTTTATCTGTCTGTCATTCGACATGCAACCCACAAAATCAAAACACTGGTTATTCTAAATTATTTTTTTATTACAAAGTAATATATATTCAATAAGAACTCAATACTAGAACTCGTAAACTCTAAAAATAAGACTCATTTAACAATTAAATAAATTGGTTAGTTTTCATTCTCTCTGCAATTCTCTCTCTGCGTAACTGCCAACACGTATCGAATCAGATCATTTTTTATCTGTACGGTGAAATAAACAAAAATAAGTGAAATAAACAAAAATAAGGGCTTTCGCTTACTCTTTCAGCGTCATCTTAATCCCATTACATATAGGAATAGAGTCTTGTCCTAACTCTTTGTTTGGGCTGAGCCGGCGTAGCTCCGGTCGTCGAACAACTTGCCTGACTTTGGTCCATTGCTGTCCCTTGCTGTTGCTCCAAGGTTTGGTGTCTGCATGTCAATAAAATTACATTAGCCCATTGAGGCTCGTAGTCAAAGACTAAACCAAAGTGAGGCAGTAAAACTGACGTTAACCTGATGACGAGACACGGCAGCACCACTAACATCCAAAGACAAGGGCATAGCCAACCCTCCTCCACCTGCGGCGGCGACGCCTCTTCCAGGTAACATTATCTGCTGTTGCATCATCATTTTCATGGCTTCCGTAGCAGGAGAAGACCCTCCTCCACCGCCGCCGCCGCCGTTGAGTTGATGTTGTCTAAGCTCGGATGCCAGAATCTCATCGTATTGGAAGCCGACATTATCGTCGGGGTTAGAAGCTCCGGTTTCATCGGACTTGGGAGGGTCCCAAGGTGACTTGAGGTCGGACGGCCATGAGCAAGAAGGGAGAATGGAGAGCATCTGTTCCAAGAAGTCATCTTGTGATGAAGTGGGATCCAATTCTGGGTTTTGCTTCTGCTGGTGAGTGGTGATCACTGTTGCCGTTGCTTTGAAGGTCTTGGAGATGGATCTGTTCCAACAACTGTTTTATTTAAATAAAAAAAAAAGATAGGTAGAGTTCAAGCATGTGTTTAACTGTTTATATCTTGAAATTTAGAGAAATGGAAACCGATAGAAGAAGCATTAGATGGGGGTTTAGGATTAGCCCTGTAAATGAACTGAACAAACACGAGGGGATGTTAATGTTTGTTTGTTTAACTTTAATCGAATAAATGAATAAACACGAACATAAACGAAAAAAAATTCTTGACACGAACATAAACGAAAAAAAATTCTTGTTCGTGTTCGTTCGTTAAAGAATGTAGCTTGTTCGTGTTCGTTCATTTAAATGATGAACGAATACAAATGAACGAACATGAACGAACGGATGTAAACGAACGAACGTAAACGAATATAAATTAACAAAACAAACGAACATAAACCACAACAACAATAATCACATAAAATTCATTAATATAAGTTGCAACTTCATAGTAATTTGTATTTAATTTATATGGGCTTTTTTATTTGTATTTATAATTAATGAATTTTAAAATATTATGGGTATCATATTCTTCTATTAGTGGTGTGGCTTGGGCACTTTATGTAGTCGAAGACGAAGGACGCGCTGCTCGTCTCCTACAATTAAATATTTCAAAAAATTATCACAATCATAAATAATATTCAAATATTTATTAATTATAATTCATTAAACAAATATTTTATTCACCATTATTCCCAAATGACTTGAAATATGTTCATTGTCAAGCCTCAACAGTGGAATTTGGTCAGCCATTGGAATGAATCTGTAAAAAAATTAAACATAATATTTAAAAAATCATTTATATAATCTAATATAACTAACTAACTAATTTACAACACTAAACTTTAATATAATAACTTATAATATAATAAACTAATAACTAACAACTAAACTTTTAAAATATAAGTTAAACGTAACACCAAACCCTTAAACAACTAATAAAATATTTTTTATATAACTAAACTAACTAATAAACTATTTTTTCATTATAATATACTACTAATAAACTTACTAACTAATTTTTATATAATATATATTCACAAACAATATAACTTAACTATTAACTAACAAAACTAATTAATAATTTTTTTTTATATAACTAACTATTAACAAAACAAACTAATTAATTATTTTTTAACTATATAACTATCAAACATATACTAATTAAATAATTTTAATTTATGTATACTATAACTTAAACTAACATCATATAACCCTAAAACTAATAACTAATTAACATTTATACTAATAAACTAATTTAAATATAAACAAATTTACCTTATCTCCCTTCTTCTTCTTACTTTCCTTTCTTTCTCTCCCTTTCTTTCTTTCTCGGCTGCAATCTCTTCTCCCTTTTCTTTCTTTCTTTTATGTGTGATCTTTCTTTTATGTTCTTGCAATTTGCACACCCCATATATACCGGCTGCCTCAATTATTTCACCAACATGGTTCAATTATTGTGCATGCATGGTCTCGTGAGCTAGGATCACATGGCATGCTGTAGGCATGCAGCGGGGAGCAGAGCACGTGAAGTTATCTTGGCATGCATGCAGGCATGCAGCGGGGCAGGAGCACGTGAAGTTATTTGGCTGCATGTGCATGCATGGTCTCGGGAGGCAGCGGACGCCGGGGGACCTACAAGGTCGCCGGGACTACATGGCGACCTACAAGGTCGCCGGGACTACATGGCGACCAAGGTCTCCCAGACTGCATGGCGACCTCTCTATTGGCTGGCTCGTTTGCATGCGACCTCTCCGTTGGCTGGCTCGTCTGCATGGTGAGTATATGGCTTGTATGGCTCGTCTGCATGGGTATGGCTCGTCTGCATGGTGAGTATATGGCTTGGGCGTATGTCACTCGTATGTCTCCCGTATGTCGCCTGGATTGCATGGCGTCCTACAAGGTCGCCTGGATTGCATGGCGTCCTACGAGATCACTGTAGAATTCACCCCATACCAGCAATTAACTGAAATGTGCATATACGTGAATAAAAAAAATCGAGAACATTATCTCGTGAATTCACCCCTTAGGATATAGTCCAATACCATTTGTATATTTTACCCTAATTAATACCACTAACTTAATAGAACAGTGAGTTTGAATTAAATTACCACTCTTCTCTAATCATACGGAACGCCTTATTACGTGTAATCTACTGAAAGCGAGTTTCTTTCTTTAATCCAGACCGCGAGTAGGGCTTTCCACTCCCAACAATTTCGGGCTCCATTATTTACCATCTTTATTTTAGTTTTTAATATCCTTTCCTTATCTTCTTTAATTCTGCCCTTGTTTTCAGGTGAGCTTGTTGAATCTTGAAACATATCTTCACCTGTAGTCTGACATTTGAAAAAAAAACTATACTTTTATTAATCTAACAATATAATATCGATTCAAAAGATTCTCAATTTGTATATCATTACATACTCGAACTCAAAACTAATGACGGAAAAAAGCATAGTCAGGGTGGCACCATGGGTGTCCATACGAAAATTTTCAATAATTAATATGTGCGTGTCAACCCTTAAATATTTTGGATTCGCCACCCGCCTTTAAATATAATAAATATATTTTATGAAAAAATCATTTCTTTGATCATTGAAGTAATTGATTCGTGAAAAAAAAATTATTTCTAAATATATTAAATTAAAAATTTTGTATGATATATAGTTATAGGTTGAGTCGAGTTTTCTTATGGACCTGAATTTGCTCTAACATTATATTTCTCCACTCGTTATTTGATTTAAATTTAAAAAGATTCCATGTGATTCACCATTAAATCCGATTTTATAGAATAAAAATTGACATCCAATATATATATAGCTTTTTATTTCGTAAAATAATGATCTAACTGAAAAAATATATATAGGTATATTACAACTAGCTTTAAACATAAAGAGATAATATATTATTATCTTGAATCAAATTAGCTCAAAAATTTTCATTTTAAATCTAAACTCATCTTATATTAAAAAAAATCTCAATAAAATTTTTAAAAAATCAACTTTATAAAATCGAAGCATAACTTATCGAATTAAAAAATGACCATCCATATATATATATATATATATATATATGATTTTTTTAATCATACATTAATCAGTTTATTAGTTATTATTTGTCAAAAAAAGGAAATTTTGTTGGTTTTTCACGTTACCCAAAATGTTGTCAATGATAACATGCAACATTGAATATCATCATTGATTTTTGTGTATACGTATTAATGGTAATAAAATTCCCAATTGATTTCCCAATGAGAAAATATTAAATGAAATTCCAAATTATTTTTTATTCATCTAAAAAATACAAAGTAATATATGTTCTAAAAATCGCTCAATCATTTGGTAATGGACGTTCGTACATTTGACATTTTTTGTACTCGAACTCGAAACCTCAAATTCTTATTTGTTTTCCCAATGAGAAATACTAAACGAAAATTCCGATTTCAAGAAATTATTTTTTATTAATATGAAGAAAATACAAAGTAATGTTTGTTCAAACTCTCAATCATTTGTAATGAATGTTTATACATCTGACATTTTTATATCGAAATCGTACTTCAAATTACCACCGATATTATTTAATTCGTGTTGATTTTAGTAAATTAAGAAGCAAATAAGTAATAGCAGATTATTATGATCTCTCCACGACATACCCTCTTCCATTTATAATATGTATTTGTTTGGTATATATACGTATACGTACAAAATAAAATCTAAAGAATCACATACCTCGGACATGTATATATATAAACATGCATTGTTTCATTTGTGATACAATTCAGTTTCATTGCAAGAATCGTACGGTAGATAATTGTTTTATTATGTCGCGTACTCTCCTTATTATTTAAAGGGTAAATTACGTGTTTAATATTTAAATTAATAATTTAATTCATTTTAATATTTAAACTTTCAATTTTTTCATAATCATATCTAACGCTCGTTCATTTAGATTTGTTTCGATCCGGTTTTTTAGATTAATTCATTTGGGTCCAAATCATGATAAGTAGATCACACTACTCGGAAGAAAACTTGGATACATCTCATAAGAGACTATATATATATATAGCTGGCTTGTTGTTGATTGCTTGTCTATTATTGATACGTTTAACTGAAGACCAAATGACGGTAAACTCTTAAAACAATTTACCATCTTAACTAGCTATTCTGATATTTCATGGATTCCCTAACTGGAAATACTACTAACCCATTGTATAAGATGGGGTTGGTAAGTTGATGACTGGTCTTGATCTTGGTCATCATGTTAATGCTGTTGGTAACCCCTTGTGATCCGATCCCGCTGTCTTTCAAGCCCTGTTAGCAATCATTTTCGAGACGCACTTATAAATTCGAGAGGGAAAAAATAATTTATTAATAAAAAAATGGTGATCTAAGAGTAAAAACTAATCCAAGTCTGGGTTGCTTTTGTTTACCTGGAATGGAAAATGATCTGGTCCACGAGCTGGTGCAGAATTGATCTGAACCGTCCCTGTCTCCATGGCATCACTGATGAGTATTGCTTTATTCACATCCTTGGTGAACACGCATCCCTGCATTTCACAATCCATATGGAATTGTTTAAGCCTGCTTTGATGGAAGAAACAGAGATGATCATCTTGCAACATTTTTGAAGTGCCTGGAGTCCGAAGTTGCTAGCATTGCAGTGGTGGATGCCTTCCTCGACGGAGTTGATCCTTATGACCGGTAAAACTGGTCCGAATGGTTCTTCCCATGCGATCCTCATACCGGGTCGAACGTTGTCTAACAACAATGGCCATATAAGATTGCCGTCTCTCTTGTACTCTTGACAGAATGTAGCTCCTTTCTCTTTGGCGTCCTTCACGAGTCCCTCGATGAAATTTGCAGACGACTCCGACACCACCGGAGTGATGTCCCAGTCATCCTCTGGCGCCCCGACGGTTAATTTCGCCACTTGCGCCTTCACCTTCTCCACCAGGACGTTAGCGATTGATTCCATCACCAATACGACCTTAACCGCTGTGCATCTTTGACCACTGTGGTAGTTGTACAAGCAAAAGAGTTTAACACTTGAACACCATGTTAGTGTCTAGTAGAAGTGAGAACAACTAATGTTGTTACCTGTAAGAGAATCCTCCTTTTATTATGTTAGCTGCAACCAAATCCAAGTCCACGTCCTCGAGGACGATGCACGCATCTTTTCCTCCCAGCTCCATCTGAAGAGGGATCATTCCTGCCTTCTTCGAGATAGCAATGCCGGTGTCTCCACCGGTGAAGCTACAAGGAAAAACGGAATACAAGTTACACATGGATGACTAGCTATGACGGAATACAAGTTACACATGGATGACTAGCTATGTAATGTGCCCACTATGGCCCGGAACTACCTTATTCAGTTAACCCCGGGATGCATAGTGAGGAAATCGCCAATCTCGGAGCCTTTCCCCGTCACACAACTGATTAGCCCTTTGGGGAAACCGGCCAAATGAAAGCACTGAACCATATGAAGAGCAGAAACAGCACCCTGTAGGAAGATTGCAAGAACTGCTTCAGATTGTGTTATGTCTCTCTCTACATGCGTTATCAGCTTGTATCATGTAAAAAGTACCTGCGTTGGTGGCTTGAGAACGAGAGAGTTTCCGGCAATCAATGCCGGTGCGATTTTCGAAACCGCCAAGTTGACTGGATAATTGAACGGTGGAATGGCTAGAATCACTCCAAGAGGAATCTGTTTACGTTTAAATTACAACTTTAAATCATGAACTACATCATCAAACATAAAAGACATGCAGCTTCCATATGCTGAAACATTTACCTTGGAGGTGAGGCAATATTTGGTTATCTGATTTCCAGGAAAACTATCAGATACCAAGAATTTCCCTTCACCTAGAATCCTTACCCCTTCTTCAGCAGTGTAAGAAATCAGATCCCCTGACCTCACAACCTTGATGGAATCATCATCAAAACCAGTTTCATTAACATGAGTTGGCTTCACTTCTGATTTCTGAATTGAAACCATTGCATAAGAACCAGGTTATATATATATATACCTCAGTAACTGCATCCTTGGCTGGTTTAGCAATTTCTTTAACCAGGCATTCAGCAATTGGTGCTTTATGCTCCTTTAAAATGGCAGCAGCTTTATGAAGGAGCTCAGCTCGCTTCCAAAGTGGTGTCTTAGCCCATGATTTCTGTGCTGTTTTTGCTGATTCCATAACTCTGTTCACTTCCTCTTGTGTACAAGCTGTTTCACCACCACTATCAAAAGTAAAAACAAAGCTGAAGCACATGCATGTATAGCAAAAAACATTGGTTTTTACAAGTTTAGCTGTTTCAACCTTGAATCTTGTACTGAGTCTTCCTGGTGGTTGGGTTGATGATTACAGCACTTTTTCCAGAAGAAGATTTCTTCCATTCTCCGTCAGCATAGTACTTGTAAACATCTCCTTCCAATACATCTGCAAGCACACCGGTCCCTGCCATTGTTGAAGCAAAAAAAGCTCACTGACCCAGCAAAGGAAACCTACTTGTTTCTTGGATTTGGTCACCCAAAGGGCAAAAAACCAAAGAAACTATAGTGAAAAGTGAGGCAACAAGTGTCTGGTAATGTTATACATATGTAAACACATAGGGAAGAAGAGTTTGGTTTTTAGGTGGTTCACATTCTGCCAAGTTTGAAGTTAATGGTTCCGACAATTTTCTGCTGACCACACATTTGTTAGCCATCAAACTTATATTCATTTTACTCCTCGGGGAAAAAAAATTGCAGAAATGTAGGAATATATTCACTTTACTTATACATTAGAATTTAGACATAAAACTTATTACAGAATCAGATATGGCACTATGACTTGATTATGAAGCTATAAATGTTTGGGTTATAAATGGTACAAAATTGAGTTAATAAGACTCAAACATGATCATTGAAGATTAAGATGAATTTTGGGTTTGCTGAAAAGATTTCCTTTTTATTGGTTATAAATTGGATGTGGTTGAAAAACCATGTGGGTCTCGGAGTGGGATCAACTTAAGATGCAAGCCACAAACTAAGAGTAGGAGGGGCAGATGGTGTGAATGATGGGTCAGGCACAGTGGACCACATGCCTCCGTGCTAATAAAGCCGACTGACCCACTTTGTGTCGATGGACCTTACTCCTTTCATTTATAGAAGCTAAAAGCCCATCAAATATTTATCATGAGCTTCCAATTAATATAGCCCGAAAGTCTGATCTAATCCGACATAATATCTTAAATTTCTCTTATATATTTAGAAGTAGGGTAAATTTGAGTTTTGGGGGAAAGAAAAGGAAAAAATAAAGTAACGAAGATGATTTTTTTTATAAAGAATCCGAAACTGTATCATTTTGGTATATATTTGAGTTTTTCAAAAATACGTCGTTTTGACTCTTATATCATATCATAACATCTTTAAATAACGACAAAGTAACCAAAATAAATGTAATTTTAAATTTCAATGAGCAAATTAAAAAAATTGAAGATACAATGAATAAAATAAGAGAGTTAAATTCAGTAAAAAACGATATAATTTACCATTAGAGATAATTATAATAATATTTTCTTTTATATTATTTTTCAACTAAGTCTTTATTTTACTTAACAAAAATGAATAATATATATAGGGTTATAATCCACTTACATTAAAGTTTCACTTTTTTAAGATTGTTAGATGAAGGGAAATGAAAGATTGTGATTAACTCAATTTTTTCCAGTAAATATTTTCTCATTTCTTATTGTTAATCTCAGACTTTGATTTACACAAATCTAATGATCATAAAAAGGTGAAACTTTTTAATTTTACACTATATAATTGGGTCCTAACCTATATATGATCAGGTCGGATGCAAACTGACCTAAAAGAGCGATCAAGTTTTGAATTGGGTGGTGCCCTTCTAAATCTGAACCAAATCAGGTGTAGGTGGAGAGGTTTAATTTTCAGGTTAGGTTTGGGTGGGCCAAAAATCTAACCCGACCCATGACTATCCTTGAAAAGATGAGACCTGCTGATAATATAATATTATTTTTATATAAAAACATACAAGCAGAAAGTGCATAACACATTTAGTTTAATTGAATCTCCTCAAATTCTACCAAGAAACCTTCCCTCTTTTACTCAATCCTTGTGCTGCTGAACAACTTCCACGGATTCGTGTTGTTCGCCGTAATCCTGCACGAAAAAGAACTATAAAATCCTAAGAATCATAAGTATAGAGCATGCATTGCCAAGAAACAAATATTGTTATACGACAATGTACTTTGGTATATATGTCCATACCTTCACAACCACTCAAGAGCAACCAACTACCTTCCGCGCTTTCCCTTCGGAATCAATCTTACACAACTGCATGCAGAGATGAAGCGCAATTAGCATTTCAAGCAGTCTCTTTCGGTCAGGTGACATAATTAGTAGTACTAATATTCACTGAGGAACACTTTCCATAGTCGAAGGCGTATGTAGGTGAACGACAATTCATGTTGTTAAGTCATACAATACAAAGGTTCATAGGTTGAGGATACAGTCTCATGGAAAACAAATGCATGAGTTGGACATTTCCAAATTAAGAACAAGGAACAAGCATCAGACAGTACCCGCAGAACGTTTGGAAATGCAAGGAAATGATCAAAGAACATAAATGAGCGATAGTACGTTATTTACACCAGGCCACTCGCCAAGGGTCTTTGAACTAGGCGCACGTAACACTTTTAACATTATGGTCAGGACAGAGTGCCTTGGTCACAGTCATCAGGCTAGAATACAAAGAATGACATTGTGCTTCTCGATCGCCTTGGCAGCTTCATGTAAGCCATGAGCAAGCCTGCCGTGAGCTCGCGACTTGCTCACCACAAGGGGCAAGGTAGTGTTGATGTCCATTGGCTCACCAGGAGCGGTTGGTGCCTCGGGTTGGGCAACCGCAGCTTCTTCTCTGCAAAAGCCATAGGCAAGAGCACGACATAAATACAGGAAGAGGATGCAATCTTTCAAAGAAACACAAGGAGGTGGTTAAACTGACGAGGTAGGAACGAAATGGAATCACAATAAGACTTATTGACAAGATATACTATCTGAAACTCCTACCGATGCAAAAAAAAAAGGGGGTAAACCCATTTAGTACCTAAATCTATCGTTTTTGTTCGTTTATTACCTAAACTTTCAATTTTTTTAAAATCATACTAACGTTTCACTTTTGTACCCGTTAAAATTTTAACATTAATTTTGTTTTTTTCCCCGAAAGTTTATGTACTAAAATGGAACAAATTTTAGTTAGATACTAAAACTTTAAGTTTTAAACGGAGATGTACTAAAATAAAACAAAAAATAAATTTTAAATATGGTTTTGAAAAAATTGAATGTTTAGGTAGTAAAACAGACCAAAACAAATTGTTTAGGTACTCAAAACGTAATTTACCCAAAAATAACCAGCAAGATCTTAAGGTACTTTGCATATCTAACAAATATGAAAGAGAAGCAAAATAAATAGGCAACTTTTCAACAGCAAAAACAAACAAACAAACAGTGCAACCCATATTATCATACAAAACCCAAAGTCTAAATCGGGAAAATTCAAACAATTTGAAGCAACATGGAGATGATAAAACAAATCCAACAAGACGATCGAGTTTCGTGGAAATAACACGGGTATTATATTAAATATGGCATTGACTGTTGAAAGAGTTGTCACTTACCCTGACATTTTCTAAGCTGACGATGGGATCGGAGGTTCTGCTTCCGGGAGCAAAAGAGAAAAACAAAGTGAAACAATTCGATATTTCAGCAAATATAAAAGTGAAAGTTAGAGAGAAAAAAATGAATACCCAAGAATTGGGGGAAGCTGGCCTGAGAGTAGAGAATCTGAAGAGCTAAGCTGCTAGATGGCGGAGGACTGCAAAGTAGAACAAATTCAGGGTTTTTGCTTCTTTTTCAGGGTCAGAAAAAACATAATAAAAATGGATAAAATTTAGAGTAAACTTTATCTAGTATCTAAATTATTAATTTTGATTCGTTTTAGTATATAAACTTTTAATATTTTTAAAATCATATCTAAGTTTAGTTTTTATTTCATTTTAGTATCTATAGTAAAAACTTAACTCTTTTAATACTTAAACTATTAGTTTTGGTTCGTTTTAGTACCTAAACTTTCAATATTTTCAAAATTTAACATTAAATTTTGAACATGATATTAAAATGAAATAAAAACTAAAGTTTTTAACGACGATACTAAACGAAACAAAAAATAAACTTTAAATATTTTTTTAAAGTTTAAGTACTAAATAGATAAGATTAATAATTTAAGTATTAAACACATAATTTATCGTAAAATTAAAAAAAACGTTGTTGCCACGATCCAACCTAAACCAAACCCAACGGTTAGGCCCAGCCCAAAAAATTATAATCAAAGTTTCATACAGTTGGAAATAAAACCCGATCTTATAAAATCGAGTCGAGAACTTGATATCCATCCGATCCAAGTTTCATGCTCATCCTTTAATACATATCAAGTTTAGATCATAACAAGATAACTTGTCAATATAGTGTTTAATAGGATTACTGGTGATGAAAATGAATTTCACAAACGGAGTTGTATTAATATTATCTATTATTTTTAGAGTTTAAAACTATATATTTTAGAATTTAAATTAACTTAAATATTGTTAATTTTACAAATTTACATCTAAATATAAAAAATTACAACTTTAATAGAAAATTTTGAGCATTTTTCTTTATATTTAGGGTAAATTACACAGTTAGTACCTAAATTATCAATTCTGATCCGTTTTAGTACCTAAACTTTCATTTTTTTCGAAATCATATCTAACATTTAGTTCTCATTTCATTTTAATATCCCGCCATTAGAAAAATAACACGTTTAATACTTAAACTATTAATTTTGGTATGATTTAATACATAAACTATTAATTTTGGTCTGATTTAATACCTAAACATTCATTTTTTTTCTTCAAACCTTAACGTTAAATTTTGAATGAGCGTACTAAAATGAAACAAAAACTAAAATTTTTAACGACGAAATACTAAAATGAAACAAAAACAAAACTCAACTTAGGTATGAATTTTAAAAGATTAAAATATTTAGATATTAAAACAGACTAAAACTAATATTTTAAATACTAAATGTTTAATTTACCTTGGTTTCTAATACCAAAAACCTGCTTTGCCTTCCTTGTAATTTAAAGCGGCTTTTGTTGGATACTTTCATCTCACTCGCTACAAATCTTATGGGAAAAGAATACAAAAATGTTTAGAATAAACTTTCCGAGAAAACAAATTCAAAATATATTCCACGAGACAAACAAACTCAAAATATATTCCACGAGACAAACAAACTCGTATTCTCCTGGGTAATAATCCAATACGAGGGCATTTTACTTTTACCTCACTTGCGGGAATCTCTTGCAACCATAAAAGAAAATAATATACAAGCCATCACTAATTGGCTGATCCATGTTAGATTAAGGACGCAGCTGAAGTTCGTTGTTCAATCATCGTGTCGCGGACATGGGCAACGACGGATAACATTCAACCTAACCTCGCTTCTCTTTGCAAAACCTGTTTCAAGCAGTAATATGGATGTAATAAGTCGATGTGCTACGACACAGAATGTTATGCAGAACAAGTAGGAAATACATATTCTGAGGAAACTAATAGCCACGTGGTGCACTTTGGGGTCTAGATGCCTCCTTCCTATATTGTTCCAACTCTTCATTTTCGATAAAATATGTCCAACGGCTGTATATGACACATAGTCAAACATGGATATATTGGACATAGAGCTGTATCAGTCAACTTTGTGTCCAAGCAGAGCATAGCCTTCTTCAAATATAGCAGAGGGAACAAAAAAAAAATATTTGGACCTTCATCCTTCGGATTGCCATGATGATGATGTTAGGATTGAAGTAGACTACCGTGGAAATGGACAGCAGCAGTGCCACAAAATTTTCAAAAGAAGCAGACGCTTGCATAGCCAGCTGAATGTAGTTTAGCAAAACATGGACAAAACTGTATTGTTATCTGCCTAAATTTCTTCTTCTTTTTCCTCATATCTCTTGGTACTTATTTGACCCTTTACCAGTATTTTCATATTATTTTCGGGTAAGGAGGTAATTTGATCTCACTGAGATTTAAAATTTTGAATAAATTTCCAGTCCTAAACAAATTAAGAAGAAAAATACACTGATAACATTCATGAACCATAAACATAAAACCAAGCATCAAATACTTTCATCACAACCACTCTTGGGCAAGCCAGACTTCGACTAATGAGGGAATATCAGATGCAAGAGCATAATACTAGTCATTACCTCTTCAGCGAACTTTATCAAGATAGTTGTCCGAGGTCTATGCAGTCCCTCCATGGGTACAAAATGAGCTGTTACTACTGCTGGAAATCCTGCCCCATCCAAAACACCCTTCCAACCAAAAAATTGAGTCTATAAGAACTTCCACCAGATGATTAATTATTTATACAAAAAATGAATGCAGCACTTACTCTCACTATTCCAGCAACAAATGCCCCACAATTAAAGGTCCCCATGTCTTTTGGAACTGAAATAAACCTACAATGCAAACAGACCAGTTGGTTATTAATACGGAACTAGATGTCAAATTGGTAGAAACAATTGCATTATAAGAGTAAGTGATGAAAAGTGCATAACTTGTTCACAAGGAGGTCCTTCTCACTGATCATGTATTCGTCTTCATGTTCAGTGCCCTTCTCAAGTGAATCAGCCACCTTAGTACAAAAAAGGGCTGGTAAGTGGTAAGACGAGCACTAAATTTGAGATTACACTGATTTTAAGAATCTGCCACGTGTTAGTCAGCCAGATTTATCATGCCTTGATACTTCTAGGAAACTTAACAAATTCCGTATGACAATATCATCAAACTTTCAATTGTTTCCCGAGTTGACAAGATTGTTACCTTTCCAAATAGCACCTTCCAGACAGTGCTGTGCACAAAAGATAAAATACCCAACAATCGTGTCTCTCTTCTGTTTCCCTGTGGCATAAAAGAGAATATACATATATGAAATTAAAAAGCATAGGTTCATAGTACCAGTGCTGACACCATAGAAGAGTGGACGTGTTCAAATAAGCACAGATCTATGAAAACACATTGCTAAATCCAGAAACAAAATATGAAAGCAAAATTAATTGAGATGCCACGACCAGGCAAATAAGGTAAGTGAGGCCAGCATCCTTGTATTACACCTGATTAATTATAAGAACCAAGACTACTTTAAGAATGTAGATGCCCAACTTGCCGGTAATACCTTGAGAATGCTAGTGAAGAATAAAAGAGAACTTCAAGCATAGTCAATGAATGTGTTGTACCTTATCTCTATGGCATAAAAGTTCAAGAACTCGAGCCCCAACCGCATACCCAGCATCCTCCAGCCTGACCAATGACCATGAATGATATTAGATTCATTGACTGAATCAAGCATCATTCCAAGATTTGTTTTAATGTGAAATAAGGAGCTTTGGTCTATTCTAGAAATCTTCTACAAATAATCCGATCTCAAGATCAGTCAGCAATAATAAGACTACTATCAAACATAACAAATACCTTCTTTCTAATTCAGCAATGTTGTCAACCTGTGTTTGATTGTATTGAACAAGCTCAGAAAACAAGAATGCAAACGCACTTAAGCTAACCTGCAATGGAAGCACAACAATTAACAGTTTGAATTTAGACTCCAAATTGGATAAAATAAACCCCATAAAAGCTACTCATGTTTTGGTTTATGTGAACTTTTATATTTTCTAAATAATCTTCTCACGGAATTTTTCTCAGACTAATTTGTGTCACTGAATCATAATTTCTCAGCTAATTTAATGGCTAGGAATTTGAATGAACTTTTTAAACAACTAAAATAAGGAAAAAGAAAAAGCATGTTTCTAGTTTAAACTTCATATCACATTTTCATACATAGCATAGGAAGAATACAGAAGCGAAGCAGATGAGCGTGAGCGAACCTCTTGTTTGCCCTTGCTGAGGGGCTTCTCAAGGATGTTTGAGTATTGCTTTATCTTCCCAGCTCCAATCATTTTCTACGGGAAAAAATATTATTTTCTGTTTGGCTGCTAGAAAACTGCAGACAAAAAGGTATCATCCATCAGGTGTGTTAAACGAAGGGCAAGTATGCATGCACTTCACTGTGAAGTCCATTTTGAACAATTGAAGAATTTAATTGTGATAAATCAGCTGATTGGATTTACTAAGTTATGCAATAAAGATTTGGGGATCCTTGAGCATTTGTTTATTATTTCCACGGCCTTGGTACTAATTACTTAGTTTTGTGGTTCACAGTCATGGGAGCACGACACATCACTGATCCAGAGCAAGATAAAGCCAATTAGTCTTTGCCGATCAAATGGTAAATAATGCAGCCATAGACAACCCATCTAACTAATATCGTCATGATCAAGCAGAGAAATGAACTTTTTTTTTCTGGGATTCCAATAAAACCCAGAAATTCGTACGAGGAAAAAAAGCTTAATATTCTAAACGATTACCACGATATTGCAGAGAAAAGTGACAATCAATTTTCAAATAAGTATTAGCACATTATGAATTAATAAACACGAACTATTTGTTTCATAGGAGTACCTGATTACAGGATGAGTCTTGGGATTTCTCAACGATCTGAGGAAGCGAAGTCTTGAGATGAAAAAAACCAAATGAATCAACCTATATAATGAAATTAAATTGGGTTCAGTTGAAAAAATCTTAGGCCTTTTATCCTTAGTTTAAATTACACATTTAATACATAATCTATCAGTTTCGATCTATTTAGTACCTAAAATTTAAATTTTTAAAATCATGCCTAACGTTTAGTTTTTATTTCGTTTTAGTACTCTGCCGTTAGAAACTACTGCGTTTAGTACCTAAACTATCAATTCTGTCTGTTTTAGTACCTAAACTTTTAATCTTTTCAAAATTTAATATTAAATTTTGAATGAGATACTAAAATGAAATAAAAAATAAAATTTTTTACAACAAGTACTAAAATGAAATAAAAACTAAATTTTAGGTATAGTTTTAAAAAATAAAAATTTAGGTACTGAAACAAACTAAAACTGATAGTTTAGATATTAAACAAATAATTACCCTTCTATTTATGATCAGCTGGACTTTGCAACTTAAAAAACGATTGGGCCTCACCACTTTGTTTGGGCTTGAAAAATATTTTTCATCCTAAAACCTTTGTTAAAAGGGTTAATTACCGAATTGATCAATTTCCTTTTATATTTATATATTTTTCTATTGTATTTATATATATATATATATACACACACACTACCTAATCAATATATATATATATATATATATATATATATATATATATTTCAATCACTTACGTTAGGTTTTATTGAATTTAGGTCACTTACATTACCAATTATTATATTTGGTCATTAAGTTCTACTTGTTTGGTGATGTGGTACGTTAGTTAAAATGGGTTAATTTTTAGTGACCCCTGAACTATAGATATAATATTAATTTGATCATAAACTTTAGATGAAATCATTTTAACCCTTAAAATTTAGATAAAATATTAATTTGATCATTGAATTCGATTAAGGTCTCTTGTCGTCGATCACCACTCACTATCGTCGTCGTCGATCGCCATCGACTGTCGTATCTTAAAATTTACAACCTATTATTTTTTGACCTCTTGAGCATGAATCTATTGTTCATTTTACCTTAAAATATCTCAAACTCAACAAAATCTAACTAAGAATCTTTCTACTTGCTTTAAAATTAAAGAAAAATCGAGGTGGTTTCAAACAAATTACCCTCGAAGTAGAATTTTCAGGGGATAAAGTGAAAATCAAAGGAACAAGTTTGTAGCAAGATAAGGTGCCAATGAAATTGAAAATAAATAAAAAGTTTTTATTTATTTTCAATTTTTTGATCAACCTTTGGTGTACATGTACATAAATTCCATATAAATGCATCTGTTAGGATCAGAATGGTACAAAATATGAGAAATAGATCAATCATGCCGTTATAGTTTATAAAGTTGAGTGCTACATTGAGAGTAGTAAGCCGAGTGCCATAAATGCTGCTACACAAACATCAAACTTGCCGGGATCGCCATGCTTGAAGGAGCCGGCGCAGGTGCACCGGGGGGACCCGGTGGCGAATTAGATCCGCCGGCTGTTGGAGCTTTAACCGGCGGTATTGGAGGGGAAGCAAGATCTTTAACATCAAGTGGCTGACTTGGTTGTTGAACTGCTGGCAGTGTGTTTTCAGGAATTTCCTGAAGCAATGCACCTACTTTAGCTGGTAAGATGGCAACGTCTGCATTCATATCGACACACGAACTCCCTGCAACCACCGAGACCGAAAAGGTTTAACGCGTGTATTCGAACTCGAGACTCGGATTAAGTTCTTTATGGTGGAAGTAAGTACTCACTCAAATATCTGCTGGCTGTTGCAGGGAACTCTGTTACGAACCCATCAACGTTTAATTCTACATTGTAAGTGGCAAGCTCCATGGTTGGATCCGCATAGAAATCGAATGGGATCGCGACAAATTCATTCCTCATGACCGAGACGTAAACCGAGACGTTCACGTCATGCATCTCCTTGAGAACGTTTGTTGTAGCCTTGGTGAAGCCACCTTCATTTATTTCTATCAAGGAAGGTCTTGGTACAACAACTGCATCTGCAAATTTCTTGATCTCTTCGGGTACCGATTTAGCGACCTTGCTGATCGGATTCTTCAAATGTAACAATCTTTTGTAACCAAGATCACTCGAGTATTTCTTTAGTACCGAACTGTTATCTGATTGGATCATGACTTTTACTTTGTCTAAGCTTGCATTCTTCAATGCTTTGTTCACTGTATCTATAATGTCAAGACCCTTCTTTGATGCTAAGTAAGCAGCATTCTGCAGGCAACTCAATTAATAATCATATGTTCATCAAATAACCGAAATTCGACAGAATTTTCATATAGGTTAATGATTGTATATCTTACTTCTATGTTGATTAGAACTCCTTCAACTTCTTTTGTCTTGGCAAACTCCAAAAAGTCATTTAGAGTCATGAATTTTCCTTTGTTTTTGGCCGCAGGGTTTCTGTAGTAGCCGGTCCTTTGTCCAAAAGGGCTGTACATTTGAGCTGAAGAACGACGGATAACGTTAACGAGACCGCTAAAACATTGTAAGATACGATAACATTGGTGTTAAATAAGCTTACGTTTCAAGGTCTGGATCTCGGCCCACGTAAGATCGAACGAGAAAACTCCTTTATCCTTTTGAACTTCAGGAACTAAGGAAGATTTGGACATGAAGGTAGGCATTGCAGTAGTATCCCCTGTCAGATCAGCTGAATCTGAACAGAAGGCGACTCCATCTTTCGACAATTGGACCGAGCAATCTATAATATCAGCTCCATCGTTTACTGCCCGCTCATAAGCCAGATCGGTGCAACCGGGATACACCCCACTCGCTCCATTGTGAGTTATAATCAAAGTTTTCACTGTAAAGCCACAAAATCATAGGGAGACATTAGTACATACATAAAGGTCTGGTACTCATTCAAAGGATTCCAACTTAGCTTTTACATTGCTTTTCCTTTTTGGTTTCGTTAGTTGCAAAGCATGCTGCATCAAAAAGACCATGTGGAAGGGTTAATCTCAACCTCAGAGTATAATGCAGGCTTATTATATTCGTGCTATAAGCTCACCGATGGCGTTTGATGCTATAGGGGAGAAATCTGTAACCAACCCATCGACCGTGAATTCCGGATAGTTAACGTAATTCAAGATCTCGGCCGTCGGGTCGTAACTATAATTGTGACTTATCATTTGATCATTTGACAAACCAGAAGCATACACTTCAAGGCCAGCCTTGTGAGCATCGGTCACAAGGGTAGTTGGTTTATGCAAGTAGTTATTTTCACCAACAGGCCATATGAACTCTTTGGGAACCATAATCCCGGTTGCAAAGGCTTTGATGGCATTAAGATCCTTCAATATGTCGCTATATTTCTTGTTCTCGGTCGGTTCGACCACATCCTGTCCGAGGCACACGAAGATGAAACTTATCTCCTTGGGAGCCCTCTTCTTCATATTCCTCAAGAAACCAATCTCAGGAGACGAAATGTAATTTATGCCCTTAAATCCTATGGTCTTTTCAATATAATTTGACATACTGAGTTTGTTTGCAGTATAGAAAGCATCATACTGCAATACACATGATAAAACAGATGAATCAGTGCACTGCAGAAAGCATCATCATACATTCATACTACAATACAGATAACATGAGAGAAATATCGAACCTGGACATTCAACCAAAAGAATTCTGGTTTAGCTTCTCTGACTTCATAAATGGTCCCTACCGGAAGTTGATTGTCGAACGCACTCGGTCGAGACAACACACTTTGAATCACTGTCGACACGACAAAGCCGACGATCTTAAACCATTCATGTTCGAGTGAAATATGCAGGGGCAGGCAAAGCTCAAGCAAACTTACTTGAGACGTTGTTCAGTATAACTTGAGATGCGAAATCCTTGGCAAACCAACCCTTAACATCATGTCCATTGATATTGTAGGTCTTGGAATCTTTGGGGAAGAGCTCCGCGATGTTTGTCGAGTTATCGAGCCTGATATCCGTCACGCATATGCCGACGCTGTCTCTCGTCAGCTGCAGGTTGCATAACAAAGCCACATCCGTGTACCGTAATTGCAAGGCCATGTCGTTTGCAAGTGCCGTCGATTCAGGGAAAAGTCCCGAGAATCCTCCTCGCGCGATCACAAGGGGCGGGTATCCTGTAAACCGCCCATTATCGTCGATTAATCGACGAACGAAAACATATTATCAATAGAAAAATATCGCTTTAATAACGTTACCGCTTAAGGTTGGCCATTTCCTTGGAGCAGCCGCAGGCTTTGCAGGTTCAACACCGTCGGATTGTGCCAAAGAGGCTTGGACCAACAGGGATATCAAAATCAAACACCTGATCATTTTGCCACCAAAAATCCTGCAAATTAATAAAAAAGTACATGAAATTGTAAAAATTTCATTTATCAACCCCTCGATTCGTCCTTGTTTAACTTACACCATTAAAAAAAACAGCAACTGATCATCTTTATATCCTGCTACAATGTTTCTTTTTTTATTTATATTTTTTTAATATTTATTGATCAAATCAAACCCCATTTTTTGTAAAAAGAAACCCATCATCATCATCATCATCAAGCTTACCTGGACTTACAAATAGATTGATTATATGTGCAATAAGAACATTCCCTTGTCAAGTTTCTGATAAACTATGAAAGAAACTCTCGAAGGGAATGCAATGTAATAAAAGAACAAGAAAAGGAAGAGGTAGGGAGAGGTTAACCGGTTCCAAGGTTTTGTTTTTGATAACTCCCTTGCAAGCTTTTCGCATTAATAGCTGGTCATAATTTATTTCCCTGAACCACCCCTTTTTATTTTTTATTTTTAGGTCTGTTGCTCATTTGCTATTATTGGCTCCTATTTTTTAGACAACAAGACGGTTTAAAAGCGGGAAACGACAGCTCCTAACCCATAACGGCTTAAACCGTTTGAAAGTCCCACCTGCTCTCTTCCTCTTCTTCAATCCCTTTATACGAGCTCGGTAATAAAAGAATTATTGTTATTTTTGAGATTTGAGTTCGAGTACCAAATATTAGAGGCGTAAACGTTCAATAACAAATGATGGAGTTATCTATAAACAATATTATCTTATATTTACCCCATATTAACAAAAAAATTATTTTTTTTTTATTATTTTATTTTTCCATATGTAAGGTTTACAGGACGGACACATAACGGCTTAAACCGTTTGAAAATCCCACCTGCCCTCTTCCTCTTCTTCAATCCCTTTATACGAGCTCAGTAATAAAAGAATTATTGTTATTCTTTAAGATTCTGAGTTTAAGTACCAGAAATATTAGAGGCGTAAACGTTCAATGTCAAATGATAGAGAGTTATCTATGAACAAATATTATCTTGTATTTACCCCATATTAACAAAAAAAATTATGTTTTTATTATTATTTTTTTTTCCATATGTAAGGTTTACAGGACGGACACATGATTTTATGTTCGAATGTGAACTTGAATTTATAAAATTTCAGGCGACGAACTTGAAATTATAGAATTTTAGGGGGCAAAAATAAATTTTCAATAAAAAATACATAGATAAAATCTAAAATATAAAATAATCTTAAATTTTTAAGGTATCGATCGCCCCGCCTAAATCCATCCCTATGTAAGGACTTCTAGTGAAATTTAGAATAAATTGCACTTGAATATTGCTTAATTTTAGTTTGCGTATCACTTTTATAGTTAAATTTTAAATTATTTTAGTACCTTTAAATCGTTAATATCGTAACGTCATCATTTCTTTCGTATAATATTTGATTTTTTTTATACTTTTTAGTATTTTAATTTTAGACATTACTCTTTATCTTCTGTATCGAACTGATTCATGCAAAAAATCATCAACTCCTAGTGTTGTTGTTATTTTCGGTAAATTATCGCTCGTCACTGATTGTCATCCGGTATTAAAATATTCGTATTTCACTTTTCTTTTTTCTTTATATTGATTTGCCACGAAACTTAATCAAAACCAACAAAATCTATTTTTTTTTAACAAAAATACTTTTAACTGTTTGAATCTTTGAACAAATACTACCCAAATACTTCAAATTCAGAAAAACACGCAAATCTTTAAAAAGAAATTATTAGTGAATTTAAAAAAAATGAAAACACTAAACTAATAATGTGATAGAGGATCACGAGACGAGTTTATCGTCTATAGTAATCATAAAAAATATTGACAAATAACAATTTTTGATAACAAATAAAAATAAATAAATAAATTTAAAATTTGTAACTTTAACATCACATCATCATGGTATTAATGGTTTAATAATTTAATAATTTAATAATATAACTGATTGACAGTCTAAAATTCAACTATTTTAAGTGTAATTTACCACATAACCGATCTTAGTTGAAATTTTACAACTGATCCTAGTTCAATATTTGATGTTTTCTTTCTTTCTTTTTGGTTAACCAATAACAATTTTTCATCTTTATAATTTACAAATAACAATTTCGTGTCATAACTTTCTTCATAATTCAAAATTAATTCTTAGAAATTATTGAATAATTACTTTTTATTTCTCTATAACTGTTGAATTGTTAATTTTTTTATGAGCAATATGACTAAAGTTTGATAGTTTTTTTTTCGTTGGACTAACCTCTCAATTTTCATCAATTACAAGGATTGAATTCTAATAAATTAAAGTCAAAGAACTATTTTCTCAGTTTTTGTAAAGTAGAGACATTAAATTCATAATTAGACTATAGTCTCTGGACTAGCTACACTTTCATTGGGCTATGCTGATTATATTTCAAGGGGACTTACCAACCCTAAGTTCTTAAGTTGGCTGGGTTTTAACTGGACTGGATGGTCCAGCTTGAAACGTACACAAATTAAGAAGGGTAAATTATAAATTTATCACTGAAATTCGTTACCTTTTCTATAATGCTCACTGAACTTTAAAAGTTTTCAACTTTCTTATTGAACTTAATTTATTGGGATTTTTTGTCATTGATCTTTACTCTCTCCTATTTTAGTCACTCCTTCATTAATTAAAGACAACATCGTTGTTCAAAAAACAAAAGTTTTACCAAAACAATATCATTTTGCATCTATGTAATTACTCATTTTAATGTCGTTAACTATTTAATAGTCAAGTGACAAAAACATAATGTATTAAGTTCAATGAAAAAATAAAAAAGATTTAAAGTACAATGAGTAAAATATGAGAGAATAAAATACATTATCAAATTTGAATTTATCAAATTAAGAAACATCGAACGGCCTGTAACACTAGATTCTAGTGGGATTAGACAAATCAACGGCCGGATGCATCCAACTAGATATGTATTCACTAACGAATCTGAAGAGGAAATAATACCAGCAGGAAATGAAACAAGAACAAATGTTTTTTCTTGGCATATAGAATAAGGAAATATAATTTGTTAATCTTTTGGAAAATTAAGAGAGAAGGGAAAAGATGAAGATCACGTCGTTAATGGTGTTGAAGAGCATCCCAGAAGGATCCGATCCGACGGCGAACGCATCCGACGATGTGAACCATTTTGGTTACTTCCAAAGGCCAAGCGTCAGGGAGTTTATTGTCTTTTTTGCTGGCACCGTCGCTGAACGTACGCCTCCCGGCCAGCGTCAGTCCGTCCAGCACGAAGGTCCGTCTGATTAACTGATTGTTTTTTATTTGTTTTGTTCATTATCAATTTTACTATAGCATATGTCGAAGTAAATTTGTCCATGGTATGCATTACGCAAGCCAGAAGAAACTGTTCTGAATAACATCTAGCAAGTAGATGACCTTTGAAATGGGAAAACCATATATGTATAAAGTAATTGCTTTAGTCTCAAAATAATTGCATATAACTTGATCAGAGTTTCATATTTTAAAGGGAAAATAATCTCAGTGACCGAAAATTCCTTATAATATACGATTTTGATCAATTTTTTTTCGATTTGTCAAAATGACCAACAAAATTGCAATGCGATCTCTAAATCGCAACGTGATCTCCAGTATCGCAAATCAGTTTCCAGATTCGCAACACGATTTGACTATTGCATTGTGATTTTAGAAAATCGCAATGCGAATATGTAAATCGCAACGCGATTCTGACTATCGCAATGCGATAATACAAAAGTGCAATGTGATTTTCAAAGCGCCATTAGTATCGCAACGCATATTTTATTTTCAAATTCCAAACACGAATATTAATACATCCCGTAATCGCAACTCTTAACCTAAAACCCTAAATCACAACTCAGTCTCATCTCCATTCTCACTCTCTAAGGCGACATCCGTCCCCATCTCCGACGAAATCCGTCCCCATCTCCGGCGAAATCCGTCTATATCCATCTCTCAGAGCCACCCTCACAATCATTCACGATCAGAAATGGAAAATCAACCAAATCAACCACAAAGGGTTAGTTTTTTTAATTATTTTATTTTGAAAATTTTGCCATTTCACTTAGATTACTTATTAAATTCATTCGATTGCTGCCAATACTGCTAAACTGTTTAGTCTTTAACCCTGTAAAATTAGTATTTGTCTTTGTTTTGTCTTTTGGTTGAAGTAATGCAATTCATTCAAGTTTCAATTTTAGACAATGACTATTTGAAACCGAGGATCGCAACGCGAAATGAAAATCGTAACGATAGTTTAATTCGCGTTGCGATAGTCATTTTCGTATTACGATTTTCAATTCGCATTGCGATAGTCATTTTTGTGTTGCAATTTTCATTTTCGTGTTGCGATAAAAGTTTCAGAAACTATTATTCTTCTGCAAATTGAAACTTGAATGAATTGCATTACTTCAACCAAAAAACAAAGACAAATACGAAATTCACAGTGTTGCAAATTTAAGTTTGAAGAATAAACTACTACTACTCTTTATGTTTATTATTATTTTTGGTATATCTTCACAGTGTAGTTTTTAATCTAACTTGGTATGTTTATTGTTTTTGTAGAACTTTTTTTCGGCTCAATTGACCTTAAGGAATAAAATAAGCCTAGTCACTACAATTGCTTCGAAGCTTTCACCTGTACAAAGAAAATTGTTTGAGGATACTTGCTTCGGGCCATGGCTGAAAGTATAACATCCGGGTGGAGATGCTATGTTGACCCATTTGTGGCTTCAGACCATGACTAGCGATCTACCCGAGAGTATAAAACGTGGTAATGAAGAGATATGGTTTTATTTTCCACCGGCGTATACGTGTTTTGGGCGGGAGGAGTTTTGCTTAATCACTGGTCTACGCTTCGGACACGATGATGTAGGTCGATACACTAGTCATATTACCCGCCCATCATGGTTATCCCGGGTTTTTCCTGAGCTGTCAATGGAGAAGCCGAATTTACACGTCGACGACTTGACGAGATTATTGA